TGTACCTATCCGCCGAAGGGCGTCATAGCGGGCCTGGAACCCCAAAGAGCATATCATCGTGTTGTGTGCAATCAGAACAGACAAGGGGAGCTGCGTACATCGGCTGAGGAAAACCAGCATGAGCAGGAGGAAAAGGAGGAGACTGAGGAAGGGGGAAGACGAACGGGAACAACAGCAACATGAGCAGGAGCGGGAGGAACGGGAGCCGGAGGACCAAGGGAGGACAACAATGAGGAAGGAGTTGGATCCAAAAAGTGACAAGAACTTGGGAGAACAAGCGCCATTCTGAACGGGGGGGGAGCATCGCGCTTTGAAACACACAAAGGTTTCCGAATAACAACCACGTGGAATATCAATGGTTGAGATCGCGCGCGTAAAACAGATCACATGACGCGGAAAAGGCGCAACACACACACACACCAGACTTCGTCGGGTAGAGGGAATTCATAATGAGAGGGAGGGAAGGAGGAGAGGAGGGGAGGAGGGAAGGAGGAGAGGGGGAGTGTGGCAAGCTAGGTGCGATCGCGACTCATCTGACATCCTATCCCTTCCTCCTATCCCCTCCCACGGCGCTGAGTTTTCTCTATCCGCGGATGCGTGCGTCCTAGCCGACCTGCGACTCCCACTGAAAGTCCACATCGTATTCGGCGCAATCGGAAAAAATCAGAGCTGCGTGCACAAGAGGAGGTGGCGGGTGAGCAGGATGATGAGCGGGAGGAAAAGGATGAGGACGAACAACAACAGCAGGAACTAAAGCGGAAATATTGGTAGCAAAAAGGAGGACCAGGGGAAGGCGGAGGAGAAGAAATGGGCGGGGCAAGAACGATGAAAAAGACTCGGACTCAGAAAAGTGGCCCACGCTGGGGCGAGACGAGCAGAAGCAGCAGGAACTGGAGTGGAAGGAGCGGGAGGAACAGCAAGACGAGGGAAGGCGGAGGAGGGGAAATGAGGAGGGCACCACAATGAAGCAAGACTCGTGGATCCAGAGAAAGGGCCCGCGCTGGGTCTGCAAAGCCATTCTGAACGACGGAAGCACAGCGCCGATCCGAAAATGAGGACCACGCTGCAGCAGAAACACAATTTTGGCACACCGACATCAGTCGGATTGAACAACAAACCATGTGAAACAAAGAACAAACTCAAGTTTTGAAACCCAGTGGTAAAAAAAACAGCACGCAGAGGGGGCGGAATATCTTCAGGGCAATTTCAGGGGAGGGGTGAACGTAGTATTCATAGTGTTCAAGTGTGGAGAAGGGGAAGCAGGAGTGGTTGGCAACCTAGTCGCGCTCGCGCCATATACCCCATGGGCTTAATCCCACCCGCCCTCTGGGCGTCGGTGGTTTAGGGAGTTTCCTCTTCCACCCCTCCTTCTTCCCCTTCGGGAAGGGGTGGACCCCTCCCCCTACCCCCTCCCCATGGACCTGAAAGGGGGGGTTCGCGAGTCGTTGGAGCGTCCACAACGGCCTCGGCGAGGAAGCCAAACTCATTGGTTATACTAGAAATGTGGTCCCATGTTGGCCTCTTGGGGGGGAATGTAATCCGTAACCCCCCCTCCTGTGATCGGTCTCGCCCAAGATGGCCCAAAGATGCCCCAAGGCTCCGAAGGCTGCCCCAAGAGGGCCCCAAGAGGTGGCCAGGAAGCCCCAAAAGGCCCCCAGGATGCCCCCAAGAGGCTCCCAAGAGACCCCCAAGAGGCCCTTAAAAGACCCCACATAGGCACCCAAGATGCTCCAAGAGGCCTCGGCGAGAATGCCAAATCATTGATTTCACTAAGGTTTTCGCCACATGTTGGCCTCTTGGGGGGGCACTGATAAAGATGACTCCAAGAGCGCCTGGGAGAGCCCAACATGACCTCCAAGATGGCTCAAGATATCCCAAGATGTCTCATAATGCCCACTTCCCTGATCGAGACAATCCTTCTGGGCATCGTTTCTGGATGGGCTGGTGGGGATTCGCGAAGCGTCAACAATTATCGCAACCGCGATATACTGATATCCGCGCTCATGAACGACCACCAAACCAAGGCGGCCGCGGTATCCTGCCGCACTTAAGAATGTCACGCAGCGCTGGATCTGACAGGGCATGCGGAACGATGGAATGGAGAGAAAGCAAAACAGACTTGCTGAAGCAAAAAAATACACTTGGCATGCCTGCCTCTTCGCAACCCTCTCGGACAGTGGCGAGATCGCTGTGATTTGGGCGGCACCAGAACGGGCAAGTCAGCGCACGGTCGAACTGAAACTGTCCCCAACTGGAAAACTGCTGCCGCGTTTGGAACATCATTTCCAGCAGCCCTAGTGGCATACGCAAGTGGTTCTCGCATCAGCTCTCTCGACTAACCTTTTTCCCATTCCCTCCCTAGGGTCCAGACCGAGGTGGTCGCCTGTAGCTGAAGTGCCACTGGTGGCCCATGATTCCGGATGCATTCAATATTGCACAAGATGGGCCAGTTAAGCCTAATCCCACCAGCCCTCTGGGCGCGATGTTTCCATCTTCCCTCTTCCCCGTCGGGGATGGGTTGACCTCTCCCACTCCCCCTTTCCCCTGGACCTGGAGGGGAGGAGTCGCGTGTAGTTAGAGCGTCCAAGATTGCATCGGCAAGAAGCCCATCATCGGTGTTAGTTTATCAAGGCTTTGGCAACAAGTTGGCTTCCTCGGCAGGGTGGACGCTAATCTAGTACGGCCCCTCCTTTCATCGATCTCCTCCAAGATGGCCCCAAGATGGCCCCCGAGGCCCCCAAGTGTGCCGCAAGACGGCCCCAAGAGGCCCCCCCAGAGGGCCCAGACCAGAGGTGCCCCCAAGAGGCTCCCAAGAGACCGGCCAGGGGCCCCAAGGGGCCCCCACGGAGGCACCCGAGACTCCTCACGAGGCCTCGGTGAGAAGGCCAGAAGCAATGCTCGTCCTCCGGTTTTGGCTGCACGTCGGCCTCCTGGGGGGAGGGACCCTGATGAAGGAGCCCTCCTCCTCTGACCGATCTCCTCCAAGATGGCCCCAGACCGTCCTCGAGGCTCCCAGGGTGCCCCAAGACGGCATCGGGAGGCGGCGAGGCGGCCAGCAGCAATGTTGTTACTGAGGCTTTAGTAGCAGTTGGCCTCTGGGAGGGGCTGCTAATGTACTACAGCCCCTCCTTGGATCGATCTCCAAATGCGAGCAGTAGAATACTCAACAAAGAGATGTGGGCTCTGGAGGCCGTCTTCGGGCCGTCCGAGCCACCAAAACTACAGGAAAAAACAATCCTCCGTCTCCTCCAAATTGCTCCAAGATGGACCCCGAGGCTCCCAAGAGTGCCACAAGAGGGCCCCAAGTGGCGCCCAGGGGGAGCCAAGAGGCTCTCAAGATGTCTCCAAAAGGCCTGAAGAGATTCCCAAGAGACTCCAAAGAGGCCCGAAGAGGCACCCAAGGCGCTTCAGGAGGCCCCAGGGATCCGAAGAGTCCCCAAGAGGACTACAATATTCTCTCAAGGGACATCCAAAGACACTCCAAGAGACATGCAAGAGGTCTCTGGCCTTTCTGATCGCCCTCCTCCTCCTCGTCCGCCTGATTCTCCTCCCTCCCCCACCTCCCTCCTCCCTCCTCCCCTCTCCCCCTCCCCCTCCTCCTCTGGTTCCTCCTCCATCCTCCCCCTGTTGGGGTATGGCGGATGCCCTAGCCCTTTATTCCACTGCTTGCTCCCCCACATGCCTGATCAGGGCAACTCGCCTGGGCATCTTCTCTGGGTGGGCTGATGGGGATACTTTTTTTGATCTGCGGCTCAAAGGACGGCTCCAGAGAGCGGGTCAATCTCGACAGGGGCGCAAGCGAGACGATTGGCAACGAAGGCACATAGGCCAACGCCGCAATGCGCTGATGGGGATACGCGAAGCTTCTAGAACTCTGCCTCCAGCCTGCCTGCAAGAGGTGCAAACAAGGACACACCATGGCCCCGAGGCAGCCCCCGAGCCTCCGGTGGATGCAGCAGCAGAAGGCCCGCGAGAGACCCCTTAGACATTCAGTCAGTGTGGCGCTTTCGCCTGTTTGGTGCTCGAAGCGTCACTGAAGCATCCGATCGGCCCCCAGGCGGCCCACTGTGCCCCAGGAGGGGCCTTGAGGGGCCTCGAGCAGGGTTCACCTAAGCGGTGTGGTTGGCGATGCCGTGGGCCGTGTTCGTTTCGACGTCGTTTTGCAGCAACGGCTTGGAGACACCGCGATGAACAACGAAAGCACAACGAGAACGGCAAAACTCTGTCTTCGTGGAGCTCTGGCCTCGAGGGAGCCTCAAGGGGCAGCACGAGAGCGCGCCGAGAACGGAGGGTGGCAATTTGTAATTGGGTGCCGCCTCGACATCCAAACGGCACCCCGATTGGCCTCGAAAGGCCCCCCGAAAGGAACCCAACGAGACCCCCCGGGAAGAGCCCAACGAGTCCCCCCGGGGGCTCCGAGGGGGCCCCGCATTGCTACTATCTGGGGGCTGTCTGAGCCGATTCCCCCTCTGGATTGAACAGTTCCCCCCCTCTTCGCTTCACAAAGGTGCATCCTCCCTTGGAATCGTCTCTGGACGTGTCAGTGGGGATACTTTTTTTTGATTCGCGGCCCGCAAGGAAAAGTCCAGAGGGCGGTAAGGTGAGTGGGGATACGCGGAGCGTGAAGTCTTCAACCACATCGCGGGAAAATACTTGAAAGTTCTGCTGGTTCACAGCCCACGCGCGACGGCGGCAAAAGAACTGAAAAACACAACGTGCTTTGAACGATGTGCAATTGCCTCTACGAGACGGTCTGCCTCGAAACGTTGCGGCAAACTAGAAGCTCACCGACTACCAGCACAGAGCTCGCGCGATTCCACCCTGAGTTGCCTCCTGTCATGCCGCCCTCAAGTCTCCTGGAAGCGATGCACATTGGGCATTGGAATGTCCAAGTTTTTCGATCAAGGCAGAAAGCCTGTCAGCAGTCTGTTCCGCACGAACATTCACCATCCTGATCTCCCACTTCAATGACTCCACGTCGACAACCGTGGCCGGCCCCCTCAACCGCAGGCACCCGTCAACAAACTCATCGAGGGCGACACGGCCCGACCTGTCCGAATCGAGTATCTTGAAGAGTTTCCATGTCTGCTTCGCGTCCACGTCCATGGCCGAGGCAGAGGCTGAAATACAGTCCGGCACAACGACTGGAAAATTATATGCTCGTTCTGGGAACCCTCCTGGAGCCACTCGCTCCACTCGTGCGTCGATGCTGCGTCGAACATCTGTCGCCTTGCGTCGAACCTGAATCGAACCTGACTCGAGCTAGTGTCGAACCAAAGTCGGACTGGAATCGCACTGGAGACGAACAGATCCATGTCTGTGAGCTGGGCCCCGGAAGGTCCCCCAAGCGAACTTCTCATCGATGATAGATCTCGGCGGCGAGCCCGGGGGGGAAGTGAGAGAGAAGGGGCACGCCTTCCCGGAAGGCTCAACCCCCCCCGGCTTTCTGAAAAGTTGTCTGAGCCTTCCCTGAAGTTATAGAAAAACCTCTCAGAAGGCGCGAGGGCCTGTGAGAAGTCCCGCCGCCTTCTGAGGAAGCTTTCTCCTTCTCGCTTCCCTCCCTCGCTCGCCGCCGAATGGTGACCGACCGTGCGGTGACCTCGTAACCCCAAAAAATCTCACCGCACAATCGGTCACCCCGTCACCGCACGGTTCTGTGACCTCTGGGCCACGTCCCTGCACCACCCGCCTCATGGGGGTCCCAAAACAGTGTGGTGATAGGCCGTGCGGTGACCTCGCAATCCCAAGAGACCTCACCGCACGGTGGTCGACCACGCGATGTGGTTTATACATCGAGCCCATGCGACCCCCCCTTCCATAACTCCGATGCCGCGGCTCAGCAACCGGGGATCTGACACAAGCGCAGGACACATACACTACCCCCATCGACACAGACAAAGAAGAGAAGATTTATGTGACGACGCGGGAGGGGGATACATTGCTTAAGCGAAAATGCACAGACCCAGCAATGAAATTATGCCATAAACTACACAGGGGATTGATTGTGGCGACGTGGGGGTGGGCGTCCCATTTCGGACGCAGACTGATGCATGTGAAGGACTGAAATGCGGCCTCTGCTGCTTTGAACCATGACTGCACCTTCGGCCTGCTCAGCTGGGAGTGCAACTCAGCTGCCGTCAGCCCATCACTTTTAGCATCGACGTCGTCGTTCATCTCCTGGAACAGCATCCCCAGGCGATCCACGTGTATCTGCTTCTCCCTGAGCTGGGCCTCAATGGTGAGCTCCAAATCTTCTTGAGCTCCGTCGAATGCATTCTGGCAGAACACGCCTGTGAAGGAGAAAGTTAGGGGTGGACCGGCTCAGGGGGGGGGAAACATCGAGGCATCGCAGATAAATCGGCGATACGCCCCGATATCGAATCCGCACGCTCGTGGGCGGAGTGGGCTGTCAGGGCACAACTCGGCGATCAATCGGCGATCGAGTGTCGATGCATCCCCCCCTGAGCTCATCCCCCTCAAACGCTGCCCCTCAGCCTGTCACCACGTTAAGTATCCGCCGACCTCCGCGTAAAGGCGTGTTCAATGGTTGGCGTTCCTCCCTAGGCCCTGGACGCCGTGATGTTCTCACAACGTGAACCCTGGGAAAATCGGACCCATTCCCCAGAACCCTTAGGACCGGCTTCTCGTGGGTCCAAACAGTGTGTTGACGGACCGTGCGGTGACCTCGGAAGCCCAAAAGATCTCACCGCACGGTCTGTCACCGCACGGTTTTGGGACTTCAGAGGCCCCAGTCGCCCGAGACGTCCTCGAAGAACGGCCCCAGTCCCAAAACCGCGCGGTTACCCCGAATCCCCACTGACTCACCACACGGTGTGGTCACCAAGCTGTTTTGGAAGGGTGCGCTTTTCGCCCCGAACATCCTAGACAGCCCCAGGACCCCGCAGGCGCTCCCGAAGCCGAACACACAGATGGGGCGCAAGAGGTCTCCGAGATGGCCTCGCAGAGAGCCCTAGTTTCAAAAACAAGCACTCCGCAAGTAGTTGAGCATACGTTCAAAATCCGAGGTCACCTCTTTGGGGTCAAAGCGGTCCCAAGATGAGAATGCGATACATCCGGGAGCAACCACGAGGCCCGAAAGAGACCCAGGGCGCAACATATGGCCTCAAGATGGAGCTGTAGCTCCGCCACCAAGTCGAAAAGAGACGAGACTTCGCGTCGCCAGTGGCGAATGGGAGAAGCAATGATACATGTCCCCGCCACACCGCAGATTGATGCTGAACATGGGGCGTGTCCTACACGGCGAATATCGGGATCCACAGAAGAGGGGGTGACCCTGAGGGGGGGCATGAAGTCGACCCGCTGGTGCACCGAACCGCCGCAAACAGATGCCCCCCAATTGTCACCTATCAGCAACTATCGGGAGTTGCCAGTGGCTGGGGGGCATCTGTCTTGGGCGGCGTGGTGCAAAAACCGATCGAACTCTCTCTCTCTCACACACACACACACACCAGGGCACACACCCCCTTTGCGGGATCGCGAAAATAATTATCCTGGCGAAGGACCCAACCATATGCAGTTGTGAGTATCGCAATTGTGAATATTTTCTTCGGTGGCGCTCCCTATGGGGCCACGAACCGCATGAGGGGTGTGCCGAAATGTGGCGGGGCACACAACGCAAAGGAATACGATAGATCTGATTACGAGAGAAAGAACGCGGGTGAGTCAGAGCGCGAGGGAATCTGAGTATGAATGGGTCTGCGCGCGAGTGAATATATTTGCATGAATGCGATCATGGAACCGCCTAGTGTAAGTGTCGAGCATGCCTGTCCGAACACACGTGACACTGGGCGTGGCCGCCGCAGGCAGCTTCCGCGGGAACCCCGACGGCAGCGTCCGCACGTCGCGACGCCCATGTCGGCACGCCTCTTGCGAGGATCGCGCCCGCTTTCGGCTCTTCTTTTCCTTCCTCTTTGCCCGCGCACTCCAAAATCCAAGGCTGCGGGCGCAGCGCAGCGCGGAGTCCCCGCGACGCGCGCTGGTCGCCCCGGGCGGGGTCCCAGCGACGCGCGCGGGTCGTCCGCTGCGCGAAGCAGAGAGAGCTGACTAGCTAACTGGCTGGCTGATAGCGGGCAAGTCTCTGACCGCTGGGCAGAGCGACGACGGGCGAACGAGGCGCCGGGCCCCCCGCAGCACGGAGTTCCCGCGACGCGCGCTGGTCGCCCCGAGAGGGTCCCAGCGACGCGCGCGGGTCGTCCGCGGCGCGAGGCCAAACAATTAGTCGGGCAGTCGAGAGAAGGCGCGGCTCGGGGGAGACGCTCCTCAGGTCAGGCCTCGCGGATGAACTCGGTGAAGCCGAGCTCCCTGGCGAGGGCCGTCGCTTCCCTCCTGCACCGCTTCGTGCGCGCCGCAAACTGCTCCAGCTGCTTCCGCAAGCCCTGCGGCGGCCCTGCCAGGAAGAACTCGATGCGCGGCGCCCGCATGAGCAGGAGGTCCTCGTGGCGCGTGGCGCGCGAGAGCAGCGCGTAGAGCTCCAGCCACCAGTCGTCGTCCTCCTTCTTGCCGTTCCCTACCTCGTGGCGGCCGCAATCCAGGATCACGCCTGGGCGACGTCGACCGAGGGAGCAGCGCGCCGGGCAGCCGACGGCCCAGGGCGAGAGTCCACAGGACCGAGAGATGGTCTGGCCGCGGACTGCTCGCGCCCCAGAGGTCTGGCCGCCCCCGGAGCGCCGTTCCCCCGCCCCGTCGCCTTCGCGCAAGGTGCGCCCCTGGCACGCCACCGTGGTGATGACCCTGCCGTGCAGAATGCGGGGGGGGTGCCGAAATGGGTGGGGGTGACGCATGCGGGCGGCGGCACTGAGGCCTTCGGTGGAGCTCCCTATGGAGCCACGAAGCGTGTGAGGGGTGTGCCGAAATTTGTGTGGGTGACGCATGCGGCCGCGGGCACTGGGGCCTTCGGTGGAGCTCCCTATGGAGCCACGAAGCGTGTGAGGGGTGTGCCGAAATTTGTGTGGGGGACGCATGCGGCCGCGGGCACTGGGGCCTTCGGTGGAGCTCCCTATGGAGCCACGAAACGTGTGAGGGGTGTGCCGAAATGGGTGTGGGGGACGCATGCGGCCGCGGGCACTGGGGCCTTCGGTGGAGCTCCCTATGGAGCCACGAAACGTGTGAGGGGTGTGCCGAAATGGGTGTGGGGGACGCATGCGGCCGCGGGCACTGGGGCCTTCGGTGGAGCTCCCTATGGAGCCACGAAACGTGTGAGGGGTGTGCCGAAATGGGTGTGGGGGACGCATGCGGCCGCGGGCACTGGGGCCTTCGGTGGAGCTCCCTATGGAGCCACGAAACGTGTGAGGGGTGTGCCGAAATGGGTGTGGGGGACGCATGCGGCCGCGGGCACTGGGGCCTTCGGTGGAGCTCCCTATGGAGCCACGAAACGTGTGAGGGGTGTGCCGAAATGGGTGTGGGGGACGCATGCGGCCGCGGGCACTGGGGCCTTCGGTGGAGCTCCCTATGGAGCCACGAAACGTGTGAGGGGTGTGCCGAAATGGGTGTGGGGGACGCATGCGGCCGCGGGCACTGGGGCCTTCGGTGGAGCTCCCTATGGAGCCACGAAACGTGTGAGGGGTGTGCCGAAATGGGTGTGGGTGACGCATGCGGGCGCGGGCACTGGGGCCTTCGGTGGAGCTCCCTATGGAGCCACGAAACGTGTGAGGGGTGTGCCGAAATGGGTGTGGGGGACGCATGCGGCCGCGGGCACTGGGGCCTTCGGTGGAGCTCCCTATGGAGCCACGAAACGTGTGAGGGGTGTGCCGAAATGGGTGTGGGGGACGCATGCGGCCGCGGGCACTGGGGCCTTCGGTGGAGCTCCCTATGGAGCCACGAAACGTGTGAGGGGTGTGCCGAAATGGGTGTGGGGGACGCATGCGGCCGCGGGCACTGGGGCCTTCGGTGGAGCTCCCTATGGAGCCACGAAACGTGTGAGGGGTGTGCCGAAATGGGTGTGGGGGACGCATGCGGCCGCGGGCACTGGGGCCTTCGGTGGAGCTCCCTATGGAGTGTGACGCATGCGGCCGCGGGCACTGGGGCCTTCGGTGGAGCTCCCTATGGAGCCACGAAACGTGTGAGGGGTGTGCCGAAATGGGTGTGGGGGACGCATGCGGCCGCGGGCACTGGGGCCTTCGGTGGAGCTCCCTATGGAGCCACGAAACGTGTGAGGGGTGTGCCGAAATGGGTGTTGATGATGATGATGATGATGATGATGATGATGATGATGGGAGGGGGGAGGAGGCAGCGGGAGGAAGGAAGGAAGGAAGGAGAACGCGGGGCACCGTCTCTTCAAAACGAGGACCCAACACCACAGGATGGTTGGGAATAAGAAACGGGGGGACTGGCTGGCCTAGAATCGACCATACATCGAAGACAGAACGGCGATCGGCCCCCCCGATGGGGAAGTCCTCCGTTCCTGGGCAGGTTGGGGCACTGAGGCCCCGCTTGGCGAGGAGTGGGCCATTGGGGGTCGATGCGCCCCTCTGGGCCAGTGCCCCGTCTCAGTGCCCATGGATTCGGGCGCGGCCTAACCGACCCCGAGCAAACCATCCCCTTCCGTGACGTCAGATTCGCCTTTCGAGCTGCCCTCCGGCCGCATACATACGCCTTGGGGCGGGGCCAGGGGGGGCGTCACGGAAGGGGACGAATTGCTTGGGGTTGGTTAGGCTGCCCCTGATTGATTTCCAGCCATGATGGATGAGAATGCTGAGCTGTGTAAACAAATCCTGTCTCAAAGCCATGGCCCCAGAGGTCCCCAGCAGGCGTCCAAAGGGCACCCGGACGACTCCGAGACAGTACAAGACCGATCCCAAAGACGGTCCCAAGGCGTCTCCAGACGACCCTGAGACTCTCCAGAGAGGCTCGAGATCCCCCAGATGACCCCAAAATGGTCAGCGAGGCCCCCAGCTGGCCTCCAAGACGGCCCCGGGACGGCTCCAAGGCGGCCCAATCATTGACATAGCCCAAGATCGTTCGTCCCAGCGACGAGACCACGTACTTCATCGAGCGCGGTTGGAAAGGCGCACGCCTGTATGATAAAGAAAAACACGAAAACGATGTACACCAGGAACAGAATCATCCACATGTTGTTTCCGGTCTTCCGAAGCGGCTCGGTGAGCTCGATCCAGCTGATTCCTCCGGACACGGCCATCCACAGACTCAGCATTGATCGATAAAGGTCGCCGTAGTACGCCAGTAAATCCTCAGGCGTAGGATGGTTGGAGGGCGAGGGGGACGGAGATATGAACGAGGATGAAGAGATAGGTCCTCGTCGTCGATTCGCTTGCCTCCTTCGGTATGCTCTGTGACAGCTTGTGTCAGGACGACTCCGAAGGCGAATACGATCATCAGGAGCAGAAGCAGTGCCCAACAGACAGACCTGGCGGCGAACATGATAGAGTGCACTAGCATCCGGAGGGGCTTCAGCTGGCGGAATGTTCGGACGAGGCGAAGAAGCCGAGTGAGGCGAAACAGGCGCAGCATCTTCGCCGTCCCACCGTTGTCGAGGAGGTTGCGGCCCCTGCCTGGAAACGATTGGAGCACGAGCTCCAGAGCAATCTCGATGAGCGCTAGGATAAGGATGGCCATGTCGAAGCAGTTCCACGTTCTCTCGTACACGAAGAACTCCCATCGGAACACAGATGTTAGAGGAACAACAAACTGCATATACATAAACTGTCGGAGGTCCGCGCGGATTGTGCCCCCCTTGCGGCACCTCTGGCGCCGCCCCTGGTGCGTTCCGCGCGCCAAGGTGGGGGGCCCAGCGCCGATCCAAGAAATCCGCGCGGACCTCCGAAAGTTTGTGCTTCTGCTGTTTGTCTTTCATCGGGATATCCGAGCCACCATCTCCACGGTGAACAAGAAGGTGAATATGCAGTTCGCCGCAAGCAGGATGCTCTGCACATGCTCAGAATCTGAACCTCGGGAGGACAGACTTGAACGAATCTGGGTCTCGACGCCGATCAGCACCGAGCTCATGATGATCAGACAAGATATTCCCATGGTGAATCTGCGGCTCTTCACGAACCGAGCAAAGGGGCCATCCCGCGAGGCGAGGGGGCGCATGGAGCCCACGGAGCGCGTCTCTGCGCGGCCCGAACTCACACTGTCCACCGCATGGGGAGACCGGGGGCCCAGGGGGGGGGAGGGGAGGGGGGGAAATGGGAGCAAACCCTGAGAGCCGACGTCATCCCCCAAAAAAATAACGACCGGGGAACCCTACATCCCATACTTCTGCTACATCTGTCGAGCCAGATCGATCCATGAGGAAGGAGGTGGACGTGCGTAACTTCGAGCCTCGAGGTCTTAGTCACAACCTCGTCGAACTGCTCCTTCAGCTTCTTCGACGCAGAGCGCCTGATCCTCGCCGCAGCATCCTTGCCTGGAGAGGCTTCGCGGCCCGTCCCCGCGCTCCAGACACAGAGCTCCTCCTGACAATCGGATCTCCGCCCGTTCAGCGGCCGCCCGTTCAGCGGGAACTCGGC